GTCGTGACAGCCGTGGCAGTATATTTGCCAAAAGCTAGCAGTTAGCGGGTTTAGCTAACACCCCCACCCTCGACGCAAACGGACATAAGGCCAAACATCCTCCGGTGTAAACAACCAAAAAGCTCCAATAAAAAGCAGGTGATATGTAGTCACTTTTCCTAAGCTGTCAGTGTGTTTATGATACATTCTGGTATGTTAATAAGGGATAATTTGAGCTGTCATCCCACCCCTTGGGTCTTCGCTTTTACCACGTCATTGGACTATCCAACACTGCGGAAACACAACGCTAAGTGCTAGCTGGAAGCTAACTGGGAGCTAACTGCAGCTTACCCGTATCCCCGATGATGATGTATTTGAAGAGATACGCATACGCCATGGCCCCTTGTTGTGGCAGTCAGTCGTCTGAACCGTTACACCTTCGTAAAACCAAACAGGAGCCGTGTGAAAACAGAAGCTATTAGCTTGTTAGCCTGTTTTTTTTTTTCTGTATCGGTGTTCAGTAAGGAACAAAAAACAGCCTGAGCCTCGGCTGTACGTCACAAGGTCCGCCCTCGCCACGCTACAATTTGATAACTTCACGGTATGCTCGGAAACTTGCACTAAAAATTTATGCCAATGCATGAGGATTCAATCAAAGAAGTAGACTAAATTAAGTGGTTTATCGCTCTTTAAATTGCTTAAATATAAGCATCAACATTAAAAAGTTTCACTGGTATTAGCAGAAGACTTCAACAGTAGATATATTGTTAAAAGAGTGAGTCGTTCAGCATCTTTTACACGTTGCCATGGTTACTGCATTCCACAAGAGGATCCTATTTTCTAATTTTTGCCTTTTAAGCCTTTCTCGTGTGATATACAAAAACACAAACTTTAGAAAACAAAACAACCAAATTCCAGAGGACATCCTGGTATCAATGTATCAAAAAAATAAATTATTATTTATTCCATACGATGTAATCTATAGAACATTGCCAAGTTAAGTAAGACATATCTGATCTCCTCTTAAAATATTTCTGTTTCCAACACAATCAGTATCCAAACCATAGGTCACAAAGTGAAGCATATTGTGCTGCTGGCCATCTCACTCACTCCTTTATGATTGACACATAGCCTATAGGAGTAGACTGAAAATATATATATTTTTTAGCATTAATGGCCACCAAGGCCATCCTCCTTGATCCTTTTCTATCTGACCTGTCTGCTCATCCATAGTCCTTTCCTTATGTGGGACCAGATCTAACAGTGCAATAGACCACTGGATTCTAAGTCTGTAGCTGTGCATGGAAAAGAGCAGAATAAAATAGTGCTTTTAAAGAGGAGAGATAACAGTTTTCATCCTCCATCCCTCTCCAGTCGGTGTGTGACTTCCCCCTATATAGACCATTTGAAAAGGGCTTGGGAGAATGACCTCAGAGTGAGTTTCCATGACAATTATTAATTAAAACCAAAGTGGACATCCAGAACAGTTACATTACACGGTCAGTAATAACGTCATAATAACAGGGTACTCCCTTTCCTCCCTGACATTTCAGCCATTGCAGGAACATTTCCTTCATTTCTGGACTTTTTTCTATTCCAAATGAGAATTTCATAACAGAATCCAGTTGATCAGACAATGTTTTTGTTATCCAGATTGAAATAGAAACATAAATGTCCTTAAAATATTCTTCCTAAAATAATTAATGCAGGCTGCCAATTAAACTGCCAGATTTTTCAATGTGTCTATATTTATTTTTTAAATACTATAATTAAATAATTTAAATATGTGTTTAAGAAGCAAAGACATTCCCTGCTAATGTTTATCCTATGATATTTAAATTGAGATGAGATTTAATAATTCTTTAACAAAAACCCATATTTAAACTGGTTTCAGAATGAACCGGAAATAAAATATTGTTTAATAAATAAAATGTTTTATCCATATGTTGTTTCAAATATTTTTAAAATTGTCGGACAGACTTAGGAGGGTTTATGCTCTGGTTTTGCTCCTTGCATACTGACCATACTTCATTTTTTTAAAGATTATTTTTTATTTTTGTTAGGAAAGGGCCTGAAGCACATCTTTACAGAATTTCATATTTTATATATTTCCCCCTCCACCTTCTCTTAAATGTTCTGCTACATAAATACAAAGTAAATTACCAGAACTAGACACAATAACCCAATAACAAGAAACACACACATATATCAATCAACATTAAGTTTTTTTCTTCTTTTTCATCCCTCCCTTTCTTTTCTCTGGTGAGACAAAGAAATTACACAACGATCCCCTCACCCAAAAAACAAAACAAAAAAACACACAATCTTAAAAGTGACAGTACAAAGTGAAAAGTTAAAAGAGAACAACTTAATATAATATTCATTCATAAACATTCTGTATTCATATCAATTCAATAAATGAAAAATAGTTAAAGCTCTAAGGTAGTTATGGTTTTTCTGTCTCCAGAAGTACAGGTGCCCATATTTCTTAAAACATTTTACTTTTAAACTGTAATTTCGCTATAATTTTTTCCATTCCCATCACCTCTTTAACGCTTTCCAACCAAATATGTCTGCTTAGGGGTTGCGGCTTTAACTAGAGCCCTTTTGCTACTGTAGTAAGTATTTGAATTATTTTGTTATTTTTAGCAGACAGTGTTTTGGGTAACATCCACCAGCAAAAAATATTTGCAAATCCAGATTAAGTTTTTCTTTACATATAATTTCTATATTTTTCCTTACATCGTCCCAATATTGTTTAATTCTGGGACAATCTCAGAATATATGCCAATAGCCTCCTGTCAGGAAGCAGCCCCTCCAGCACTTGTCAGACATTTTACTATAGTTTGATGTGTTGCTGGGTAAAATAAAAAAATGCATTTTTGAATTCCATTCAAAGTCTCGCCGTGAAAAACTGCTCAACATTGTATGTCCCATTTTGAAGGATTCCTCCCAGCTTTCTTAGACAAACTTTATTATCATTTTGTAAACACAGTGTATAAAAAACAAAACATCGACGCACACAGCTTTTCAACAGTGAATGAGCAGCTTACAACAGTGAAATGAACATTACTATTTATATTTTATTTGAAATGAATGTAAACAAACCAGTTTAAAGTTATGGTGCAAAAGGCATTGATATGGAAAGGTTTCGTGCAGTGCAAATAAATAAATATGGTGCGAAATGCAGTAGAACAAGAAAAAGAAAAAAGGTTTAATTTTTTCAAAATCTATAATTAAATGTTTTTGGATATGCTTTTCAACATCCAAGCATAAAATCAAAGTGACATCAAAGAAGAGCTTCTAGAGGTCAAGGTAGCTTACAACTTCCCTACTATAGCCTACCACTTTGCTGACCTCCAACAATAAAAATGGTTATGAATTAATTTTCATTTTTTTTGTCACTAACATTGTAGTATTTTTTTATTATTATTATTATTTATTAACAACATCCTTTTTCGTATTGTTTCACTATTTTTGTTTATTGAGAATGCTTTCTGATTTTTTCCAGATCTATAATTTTAATGAGACTGCTAAAATAAGTGGAGGTGATTTACCCTTTCATCAAATTCTCTTAGCTATACAGACCCTAAGTTAACCATATATGGGTAACATTCGGGGGTGGGGGGCAGCAATCAGGCCAAAAGCTCCATGGTTACTCTTCTGCTGCCTACATGATTTAATTAATTCCACATCTGACTGACTGTTTTTCCGCTGATATGGAGCATCACTCATCAGCGGATCTGGTCTTTTTTTTTTTCTTTATTCCTTATTAAAACTCTACCCATCTATTAAATCCTTTATATTTTTAACAGACATTGTATAAGCACTGTATGGCATCAAGTATTTTTGGGTGGATATATTTAACAGTGGGTAGCTGAGAAAAACATGAAAAATGTCAGCAAGGAGCTTGTTTTAGTTTGTCAATGTATTAGATTTGGATTTTAATTTCTATTTATCTGCTCTACTTTCTATAGCCACTTTTGTGTTCGAAGTCCTCCTTATATTATCTTATCTTGATTCCTTACACTTAATTTGATCATTTACTGCTGCCTTTTATGCACCTAGAAATAGACATACGTTTCAATAAGCGGTTTTTCAGTCTTACTGTCATGAGAACCATTCTCTTATTATAATCCTGTCTATTTATACACTAAAAAGACACCTACCATCTTTTTGAGTAAAAATAAACCTGCATTCTGTAGATCGACCAGCAGAGGGTGACATTTTCTTAAGGAAAAATAAATGACTGGACAAAGTTCAAGAACAGTTATCATACTTCATGCTTTCTGATTATACCAACTAAATGTGATTTTGAAATAAAAAAGTTTGCAAATGTTTCTCACATTTTAGATGTGCCCTTACAGAGTCCCTGTGTGTCTATTTAGGACTAAAGATACATTTCCTAATGGTTCAGTCTTGCACCTCAGCTCTGGGATTGCATGGTCTGTTTTTAGGTCTGCTGTAAGGAAACGAGGGATCTTGCCTTCATTTTTTAATGGCTCCAAGGACAGTATCTAGATAGAGAATGTAGGGCAATTAACATAACAGGCCTGGAGGATGGGGATTAAAAAGAAAGACAGGAACCAAAGAAAAAGAAGAACAGTTAAATCTTCCAAGCAAAACAACAAAAAAAGGAAAAAAGTAGCCTATTCTTTTGAATGTTTTTCAGTCAGGACCTTTGCCAAAGGTGTGTGTGGCAATTTGAGAATTTGTTTTTGTGTCCATCTTGAAGTCATCAGGGTTGGAGAACAGTCAAGCCTTTCATTCTGTACGTTCTGCTGCCTTCTGTTTTCTCTAGCATTGCCATTTCCTTCACCCATGGAGTGGGGGGCGAGGGGGGTGTTGCATGTGGCCTACAGTAGAAACACCAGCATGACCTTCCTGCCAGCATTCCCACACAGAGACATACAAAATAGTGGCTGGAGACCTTAAACAGGTTAAATATAGAAAGCGAACAGAAAATGTTGATTACATGGTTGAAACAAATTTGTTAAAGATTGTAACAGATCATTTGTTTCACATTGAAGTTCTTATCTGCCTTTCCTTTGGATGAAGGCTGCAGTGGGCAGACACACCTGCACCCTCCAAAGAAACAGAGAAAGAGAGGAAGGAGAGAAAGATAACAGCAGAGTAGAGAGTGAGAGAGAAGAGGAGGAGCAACACAGTGGAAAGAGAAACAGCCAGACTGCTCTACTCTCATCTGTTAGTGGTTATGTGGACAGCAACTAAAGAGAGGTAAGGAGGATTAAAAATAGTTTAAAAAAGGAAAGAAAGTGGAGTTAAACTAAATTAAAGACACAACGAAGAGAAAGAAAGACAATACTCATTAGAGGGATCTGTTCAGCAGGCTGAAGAAACTTGACTTTGTCTCCAAGTGAATGATCTTAAACCAGCGTCTCTGAGAGCTTACTGGGAGCACAGACTGGTCTGAGAGTGAGGGAGCTGTAAGGTACCATGGCCGACAACGTAAATGAGGAGTCTGATTATGTCCCTGGGAAAGATGAGCTGGACTGGGGCTACGAGGAAGGTAAGCAGGAGTCCACATGCATGTAAGGGGATGCTGAGAGTCAGAGTCATGGGGGTCTGACATCGGACACTGAAATATGTTTTTGAGGACTCTGAACATGAAACATTTTGAAAAGTTTATATTTATTATTAGCAGCACTGCCTTCATGTATACATGGATTAAATTCACACATCATCTCATGTTTGCACTGTCTCTGTGGTTCTCAGTTCCTATGTGTGAAATAGGCAGACTCATTCTTTAAGTTACCTGTAAGGTTAGTCACTTTGTAATAAGACATGTTTCAACTGTTGGAACAGAACTGAGAGCACCTTGCAAAAGTTTTTACACCCCTTGAACTTCTTCACATTTTCTAACACTGTATCCAGAAATTATTATATCCTTTTGCTTGGTATTTTAGAAAATACAAGATAAAGATAAATTATTATAGTGTATTTAAAGGTAAAATCTGAAAAGTGTGGAGTGTTTTTTATTCAGCCCTCTTTAATCAGATAGCTCTGAATGAAGTCTGTTGGCTTGGTTTGCAGGGTCATGATTAGAAACATCCAACACAATAAAACGCTGGAACATTGCTGTAAAATATTTCAGTGTTTTCAATGGTTGGAGAGGAAAAATAAAACCGTCATTTAAACATAAACTGATACAGGCTGGAAAAAGCATATTCAATATTTTATCAAACAGACAATTAGACATTTCCATAGAAATGCAATGAGTATTAAAACAAATTAAAAAGTTGGATATTAGAGTTTCATTTCTATAGCAGCACTTTAAAAGGAAAGGAGATTGGAGGCAAGATCCCAAAAGGCGGCAACAAAGGATAGATTCTTGACCTGAGAGTTAATTTAAGTAAGATGGAATTTAAAAGCGTTGTTGAACAGAGATTAAAGGAAGGTCAGCAAAAACAATAAGAAAGAAAGAAGTAAGGAAGATGGTTTAAAGGAAATCGACAGAAAGTTGGAGAAATTAGGAATGCAGAAGTAGTTCTTTAGAACTTAGTTTCAGACACACTGGATTGAATGATACACCGTTTATGTTAAAAAACGCATATTTCAGATAGATTTGACTATAATGAAAAATTAGAACCAGTGGAATGTGTTGTGACGAATATTATGTCCATTTTCTCTTACATTCCTTATCTAATTCATTACATGCAAGAAAATATCTAAATGAAAAGTGATACTGCCTGTCACCTTAAACAAATCACCCATACAGCAAAATGTGGTGGTGGCAGCATCCTGCTGTGGGAATGTTTTCCTTTTTTCATGAAGAACATGCAGGCTGATGCGAGCTGATAGAATGACTGTTTAAAGCTGCACAAGCGTGTTTGAGACTTTAGACCAGGCATCCCCAAAGTGGGTCCTCGAGGGCCGCTGTCCTGCAGGTTTTAGAGGTTTCCCTGCTTTGCACAGCTGATTATAATGATTGCAGTTGAGCAAAAGCTGGTTTATCAGCTTTCAATTAAAATCTGCTTTGCTGGAACAAGGAAACCTTAAACCTGCAGGACAGCGGCACTCGAGGACCCACTTTGGGGATGCCTGCTTTAGACTAATGTCTGAAACAGACACTAACACACAACCAGAGCTACAATGGATAAAAAACAATCCTATAGGTGTTTAAATGTCCAAATTAAAATCTGAACCATAAATCCAGCTCAGAATCCGACTGAATACATAAAGTTTACCAAGTGCTATTTTCACATGTCCTCCATCCGATCTGATTGGCCCTGATGTACTTAGATGTAAGAAACTAACGGAGACATAACTCAGCGTGGGCGACCACAAATACATGCTACAGTTTCCCAATATCTATTAAGAATTTTTTTTTTAAACCATTAATCACTTTCATCCCACTAATATACTCTGAGGTGTGTTGTTGTAAGATAATAAAACCACAAAATTCAAGGGGTGTAAATACTTTTTAAAGGCAATACAGCGGCCGTACTTTTAAGCAAACCAGTGGAAATAATCTTTCTTGATATTTTCTGACTACACCTCTACACATCCCATTTTAAAACCTTGACTTTCAAATAGTCTGCACATAAGCAAAATTCATTCAGTTATATTTCCCTGTTTCACTTTCTCTTCCCTTTTCTCCTGCTTTTACTGAGCATCTAAGGATGAACTCTGATGCAATTCTCTGACTGTTCCTGTAAGTATGCCTACTCATGCAAACTGCTTTAAATGCATGAATCAGATACGACTGTTTGACAGGAAATTACCTCAAGAGTCCCATATGAACCCACTGAACTCCATGTTTTTATAATCTGAGCTAATTGGTTATAAAGTACTTGTCATGATCAGAGATTATATTGAAAGTTGGTACTTTGGTAAAAGAAACAGCAACACGACATCTGTAACATCATGAATCTGAATGAGGCTGTTATTTAAATCAGTTTTTATATGGGGCATTATAAAAAGAAACTGTAATAACAAACTGTTAAAGAAAAATTGCACGAATGACTTTAAAACTAAAATCAAAGGAAAATTTCTCTATAGACACAGATATTTTGTCTTTCTTTTTTTCCTGGCAAATGTCCTTCCAGAAAAAAAAAACATTTATGATAGCAGTTGATAGAATGGGACTGCCCTGGAAACCTATAGTGCACATGGTATTATGAACCTTTGAAAAAACTGGGACATGTTAAATAAATGAGCAGCAACCTCCACCAGAAGAGTGAAAATGAATAGTCATTGAGTCTTTCAACTGGATTATAATCCAAGGAAAGTGGTAGAAACAACTCCCTCCCGTAACAACGCCAACCTTCACAGCTGAAGAAGCAAAAGAGAACATGAGAGAGGATCACCTTTCTTTGTGTGGCAATTTACCCTTCGAACAAACATAAAATTAAGGTTGATTTCTAATATCTTCAGACTCTGAATTTGCTACAGGGCTAGATAATGAAACTGTTTGCACCATCATTGCCTTGCATCAAGAAGGTCCTGGATTTGAATCCCAAAACTCTGGTCTTTCTGCATGAAGTTTGGGTGTACTCCCTATGCATGTGTACATGTATACAAACATGGTTTTTACTGCTGTCTGGATAGCTCTTAGGCGTGATTGTGCATGCATGTGTAACACAGTAAAGAAGATTTTTATTTTAGATAAATGGGCCAATAGGTTCGACTATGGGAGCATAGTGGGGTGTTTCAATGACACACAAAGGCGGTTGGATGGATTTAAAGAACAACTGGCTTTAGTGATATGAAATATAACATTGTACAAAACAGTTGTATGAAACACAAAATAATGAAAATAAAATACACACAATAAAATCAACAATGAAATAAAATAATAGCAATACTTGGCCAAGTTCTAATTCTCAGTTCTAAATATCTTGGGTGCACCCTTTTAATATGAATTCAAATTTGTACTAACAATTCAGATTAAATTCAGTTCCAATTCAGGTCTGACTCATCATCATTCACCTGAGGAGAATGTCCACCACAGTGGTCTGTTCTAATGTCCGAAATAAATCTTGTAAAAAAAATAAGGTCTTAAATCCCAGAATGAAACAATAAAAGTGAAAAAATGTCAGTCAATGGTCCCGTGCATAACCAACTGTGCGTGAAGATGTGAGTGAAACAGGCCTACCACACCGCAGGGTTACACATGCTTGTTTGTTTCATGTGTCCCTATGCGCTGGAATGGGAACCTGTTCAGGATGTCTTCTCTCTTTCTAACGGCTAGATAAAGGCAGCAGCTCCCCCATGACCTGCATGAACAAGCATTTAAAAAAATGGATGGGTGGAGGATTTTGCTAACATATTATTGATTCTTTTCAGGGCTTTTTTACTCATCTTTATCGGGAATGCTTACTGATTTGTTCACTTCTATAAGTACATATCTGCTTATTTCTTATACAGCGCACCTAAAACTACATTATTCCAGTTCTAACTTTGCAACAAATAGTGAAATGTTTATGAAAAATACATTAATAAGGATTCTGCTATTCATAGAACTTTACTAATGTAATATTTTGGTCCATTTTCATTGTGAATATCCTGCAGAATCAGAAACAATAACCCTTCATGCTCATTGGAGAGTCTGCATGGGACTGAATACTGATGTAATACTTTGTCTTGGCACACATCTCAGAATCCTCTGGTTGTTCATGTTTTTGTAACCAGTGGGAAAAGGCCTTTGGCAGCCTATGCTGACACATTTGTAACCAGAGCTCTACAGAACCATTCAGGATAGTGGACGAGTTCCAATAGATCTTAAACTGACAAAATACAAAAAAAAATAAAAATAGCAATCAAATCACCTGAATGGATTTCAGTGTGAATTTTGCAGTCTTTCCTGTAGTGAATCGCTGCCCAAAAACTGTCGTCATGGCTTTAGTTGCTGCGGAGAGCGGGAATGTAGCGGCCTCCCCACCCTTTTAGCGAGAATGGCCTTTCACTGGGGAGAAAGGCGTCAGTCCCTGCTGCAGAAAGGCATGTTCTCCCCTCTTAACACTCTCACTGTTTTAAAACTTGCCTTGTTTTTTTGAGAGACAAAGGGGGCTTTCTAAAAAATGTTTTTTTTAATTTCCCATTCCCAAAAACTCATTTCATCTTGTTCTGCTCTCACTATGCGGTGGCATCTACGTTATAATGAAGTGAAACCAGACTTTTGGTGTCACTGATAGTATCATGGTTTTCATGCATATTCAGTCATAGCACATATTGCATCAGACTCTTGAGTTAGTTTACGCTGTTTATGTTTTCTGTTAGATGTCCCACTTTGATTATCTGACCCTCTTTCTTTCACCATGACCTGTTTCATTTGGTTTTAAAGGAGCTCAGCATTATCGCAGTCCCAACCAGTGTGAAATCCTGTCTCACAGACACAAAGTGAAAGCTTGATAGGCATTACAGTAGACAGATGGACTGTAGAACAATCACAAAACTGCATGAAAATTATTTCAACACAGGATTTAAGGAGGCTCCATGTAAAAAATAAATTAAAAAAATCATGTGTGCTTGTGAGCCACCTTCATCCCTAGCTACACAACTAAAAAAAAATCACAGTACCCTTGGGTTCATTCACATCCGTTTGGAAACATCTGTCTGAATTCACCAAAAGCCCATTAAATTTCATTTCTTACAGGAGAAGGTTGTTATTTTTTTGTTGAAGGTGTTGACATGGTTTTAGCACCATACTTTTCACAACCATTGTAGCCAACTGGAGACATATAATCACCACATTCAGTTTCAGGTGGGTGATTAAATAATAAAACAGCTGGGCATTTTTTGATTAAAGAGTTCAAACTCAAAACTACTAAAAGACGAAAGCATGTTTCAGTCATTCTGAGAACCTTTTTATCTCTAAACGGAGTGTGAAAAGAAGACTCTAGACAAACCACCTCAATGGTCTGACCTTTAAAGCTGCAGTCTGTAACATTGAGAAGAGAGCAGACTTCGACTGAAAATTTGAAGAAAAAGAGGTTTCACGCCACTCCCCCACCCTCTCTGCTTCACTCATGCCCCACCTCCAAGCCCCACCCCTCTCACAGCACCTGCGTGGCTACCGCATGCGACCACAAGCGTCCAAGCAGCGTACGCGGCATGGAGTGTGAACCGGTAAGAGCGATAACACTCACCTCCAAGCAGCTAGATATAAGATGCTGGTTATACCGAAGTTTGCCGTGTAAGCAGTTGTCGGCAGGGGCAGTAAGGGCAGTTTCTCTTTCTCTGGTGGCTGTCGCTCCGCCATGACTTCCACGCGCGTCCTCCTGACTGCAGCAGCCGGGCGCTGCGGCAGGTTAAGCGGTGGGGGGTGGGGGGTGGGGGCTGTGATTGACACTCCATCAGCCGCTCCTCTGGCTGTGATTGGTTGTTTTGACTCGTCCCGAATTATTCTTTCCAGATCGAAATACAGGCAGTATGCGGGACCAATTGAAGCAGTTTTTTTCACAGGTTACATATCACATGTACTGCTGTCTGGGCGTAGGGACAGTTTTAGCCAATATGACAAAAAAGTGATTTTTAAAAACTTACAGACTTCAGCTTTAAAAGGTTTACGTGTATCAAAGTACGTTCAAATTCGTGGCACACTCAGAACAGCACTCTTTAAGCCATCTAAGTCAACTCTAGCCGTATATCTCATAAAATGAAAGTAAGAATGGACACATGGAAGTAAGACACTTATCTTTGCTTCAAGCCCCCTTTCCCTGTTTGGGTGCTGCCCATTTAATGATGTCGCCCTGCAGCTACTGCAGCATGGTATCCTACCACTTCTTCTGATTAGGCTCCTCATTAGATTAGAACAGTCAATTCCATTCTGCAGCCACAAAACCTCTAAAATGCTGCCTAAAATATTAGCAGTTCATATCACGGTTCAAAGCAGGTGCTATAAAAGACCCGTTGTCTCAGCTATAAACAGAAATGGTTTTCTGCCTCATATAACTGTGCGTTGGAGGAGAAAGGGGGCGTGTTTTTACTGTGCAGGTGCAGCAAGGTAAAGATAGGTGCCTCATGGGGAGGGCAGGTAATCAGTGCTTTATATTAAACATTGATGGTGGTTCGTTTTCGAGAGAGGAAGGGGCTACTGCATGATTTTCATAAAGGAATAACTTTGAAAGGTGGATTTTGCATTATACTTGTAAGAGGTAAAAATGAAACACTGGGTTTTAATTTTAAATAGATATATATACATGGGAGATTCTGGTAAACAGTGGGATTTATTTTTATCGGAGGATCACAGAACAAATAGCACACTCTTTTAACAAACAGTGTGTGAAAAGTGCTCTGATACTTCCTCTATATATTGCAAATAACAGAAACTCATTTGGTGAAAGACTGAATCCACCAAGATGCACTCGGAAACACATAATGAAATCTTTCCCTTAAGTGGCCATCGGCCAGGATTACTCCTCCCTCTGACCACAAACAGCAGCCATGCCATTAGTGCTATAATGACTCAACATAATCCTGGTTTATCATTAGGCTTTTACACAAGTGACCATCAATACAAGTAATTCTCAGTACAAGAAAATTAAAAGAGCAAAATGTTCTTATATATTTAGAAAAAAAAAACACATCTCTAAACAGTACCATACACAGATTATGGGTTGATTCTTTTAATATTATCTTTCAAGAAAAATTATTGCCAAATTTAGTGGTTAAATTCATATTGTCATGATCGGTTTAAGGAATCTGACCCAAATGCAGAGAAACCACTCAGAGAACAAGGTGAAAAGTTTAACAGGTTTATTTGAAGTAATGTACACAGAAGTAGGATCTGGAACTCAGTTAACTGGTGAACCGGAACTGGGAAGTCTGAAGGGGAGATCACAGAGATCAGTTCAGGGACTGCAGGAAATTAGACTGCGGCTTGAATAATGCTGGAGAGGGACTCACGTTTGAGGGGGCTCTTGACAATCCTTGAATCCAGTCTGTGTGGGGGTAATCCAGAGAAGGGGAGAACTCGTTGGAGAGCAGACAGGTAGACATACGTTGGACCCAGAGGAGTAATGGAGCGGACTGTTACTTGGATTTCCGATGGGGACTTGAACGGATGATGTGGAGGTTTTCCCCTGCTCAGTGTAATCTCTGTAATTCCTTCCAGGGGGAGAAGGTCCAGGTATCCAGTTTTCACAGGACGGCTTCCTGCCAAAGAGCAAAGATAAAAACAAATAAGACTCAGATAAACAAAGCCAGGATAGACACTCTGGCGTCGAGGTAGTGACAGCCCACTGCTCAAATACTCCTCCAGTAATGAACCAACGAGCAGGTGTACAGGAAAGACCAAACAAGGACAGGGCACCGCCTGGTGGTGGAGAGAGAGGAAAAACACAAACTGGATTCCTAACACATATTTTTTATTTGCACATCAGCTGCATCTTTAATATTTCAGTTAAGTGACTCAAATCTGATATGGGAAATGTTTTTTAGTGTAAACATTGTACAGAACTGCTTCTAACTGAAGACACAAAGTTTCTTTAGCTGTATGTGTAAGAACTCAATCATGCAACAGACTGACATACATCATTGTATCTAGGCACCAACTAAATTATTTAATAAATTATAATTATTTTATAAATTAAAGTAGTATTTTTTGAAAACTGATTGACAAAGGATTGTTCAGGTCCTCTGTCAATATGGTTGTTGAATTGTTGTTGACAATTTCTGTAGAGCTGATGCTTGTTTTGTCCTCTCCCGGTCCATTTCTTTCTCATTTTAAGCCTATAATGCACTTTAATAATGCACAATAAGGTCTCATACTACAAGACAACAATTACCTGGGTCTTGAAGCATGTTTGAGGTTAGCCATCCCCTATCCTTATGTAACCTGGTGAGATATGTTTAAAATTTTACTTATTTTGCCTGTAGCCCTAATTAAAATGTTGCCCATGAAAAAAAACCTGAAGTTACAGGTCTTGGAAATCAGGCCACTTAGATCATTTAAATTTTCCTCAACAAGTATACAACTATATTTTGAGATTAGATGTCTTCATGTACAAAGGTTGTCTTCTCTTTTTGAATTTTTTTTTAATTTTCAGCTCTATTTTAATATTGTTTGGTCAGTAGCATCTTAGAGGAATGGAAAAAATATATATAATTTGCTGGGGATAAAAATTAGACAGGTTATGAGAAAAGCACTCAAAGACCTTTCCAATTAAACTAAAACCACTTTAAAGATTACATCTATAGAAATCATGAAATAGATGGTTAAAAACCTTAGCAAACTACTGTGTACTGTAGCGAGCTGCATTGTGGCATAGTTATTAGAAGTGCTGCCTTGTGGTTACTAGTGTTTTTTCTGTGAATGAATTTGTGCACAGCAGTTTTTCCTGTCTGTCTGTATGTTGCTGCCTGGTGACCGAGTGAGCTGTGAAGGATTTACTTTTCCTGTCTAATCTTAATATAATTATTATATTCAGGACATTTTTTAAACTTGATGAGAGGACCTGCACACAAACAATGAGCTTCATGTTTGCTGTGGGTTTTCTCTCATAGGTGTAGAATGGGGACTCCATTTCCCAGCAGCCAACGGCGAGTACCAGTCTCCCATTAATCTCAACTCCAGGGAAGCCCCGTATGACCCCTCCCTTCTGGATGCTGGTTTATCACCAAACTACGTGGTGTGTCGAGAGTGTGAAGTCATCAACGATGGACACACCGTCCGCATCCTTCTTAAGTCCAAGTCAGGTAGGTCTTAGGAGTCATGACATCGCTCCTCACTATAAGATATAGTTACAGGACAAAAGATGCCTTTATTGATGTTAATTGTTAGAAGTGAACTGCATGCAATTTCCTTTCTCTACTTCTTAAGTTATACCTTTGCTTCCTGTTTACATCTCTTTGTGGTTTTATGTGCTTTTCTCAGTGGTTACTGGGGGTCCATTGCCTAGTGATCATGAGTACGAGCTTCATGAGGTTCGTTTCCACTGGGGCAAAGAGAACCAGAGAGGATCTGAGCACACAGTCAACTTCAAGGCTTTCCCTATGGAGGTACAAAGAGCAAGCAGAAAGTATAAATACCGTAGTGATGTGTTTAAACTTTCAGCTGAAGCATTTGTCCCTCTGCAGACAACATTGTGGGTGGTTGAGTCCTTGAACAGAACACCTGTTTGTCCTATGAAACAAATAGCTGTTCTGATGCATTACAATGTACATAATTTATAATGACTATGTAATAATTAGTAAGAACCCAGCAAGAGATGCAAATCATCAATCCATTACCTTACAACTAATTTAACCTTTTTAAACCTTTAGTTCCTTACTCTGTAGGTATTTCACAACGCCATATAAAGTAGAACCTGCCCACTGGTTCCTGTGTAGCAGTTTCATATGTTAAGATCTTTTGTGGCTAATAAACAATATTTGTTTCTTATTTACTATTTGTTAAGGATTATTTTTTTTTTTTAATGTGGAGTCCTTAAAAAGTAAAGGCCAGTAAATTAGCTGCAACTTATTTTGCCCGAGTTATAAATAAAAGGGTTTTCAAAATGAAAACCCTTTGGCAGGCGTGTTTTGAAGGTAAGAGAGGAGTCTTGGTTTTAGCAGCTTTTAGCACAGGAAGCCAGAGTGGGCTTCTGCATCCTCAGTCTTACTAATCTTCAGACATTCTTTCCATAAAACTTAAAAACAACTTTTGTGATATTACAGAATGGTTTTAAGAGTCTTCACTTTAATGCACCACAGATTGATGTAGCAGCAAATAGCTGCAAGCAGAGATCAGAGCGGCTGTTTTCTATGATAAGATCATTTAAACTGGATGGCTTTCAACAGCTTGCATTAACACTGTGATACAGAGCTCAGCCATATATACGTAAAATCAGGTAAAAACAACCAAGTCAAAAGACGTCACTGTTTCCATGATTCCAGCTGCATGTTCTGAAAGCACACAGAGCCCTCTGAACTTGATGGATCTTTTTGGATGCAAAAGACATAATGAATTGTTGCTTAGGGGTTAATTATGGAATTATTTCCCTGTTGTGGGACAAGAGCTTATTCATAAAAGAGGTTACATTGGGTAGCAGACTGCAACACCTTCCAAAAACTGACAACATAATCAAATCCAATCATGCAGGAGCAACTCAAAACCAGTATGAAAAATAAAAAAGTCTAGGTGCAGCTAATATTTTTTAATTATCATGCATTACTTTGTTCAAATCTGTTGGTTATTGATGCTTTGACTGGCACATATTCTATTTGCAGCATCTTGGTTTTTTTTGTTTTTTTTTGTTAGCCACAAGCAACTGTCAGTGGTTTTCAACCTGTGTCCTCAGGACCCATTTTTGTTCTGTATGTTTAGATGACTCTCTGCTCCAGCACACCTGCATATAATGATGCAGGGATAAATCCCTTCTCAGCAGCCCCCAGGGGCAACAGGGGCCTGCTACTCACCCATTTATTTAAGTCAGGAGTGTGGAAGCAGGGGCATACAGTGCAGGACAGTTTGAAGGACCAGGTTTGAAAAGCACTGCTCTATCTAGATTAGTTTGGAGTGCAAACCGGATTTTAACAGGGCAAATTTCTGCTTTGCTCTTGGCCCGAGTTTGATGAGCCATTCCATTTAAAACTAATCTGTTTCAACAAAGGGAGTTTTCTAATGTGGGTAATTTTTTTGCTGTCTAAAATCACCTAAAATGAACAAGTTTGTTGGTATTAAAACTTTGTTCCACTAGAGGTCATTGTATTCAACACCTGCATTCCTTTGTAATGTGCTTTTCTTTTTTTCTTTTTGCCCAGTTGTGTTTTTGACTATGACTAAATATGACCCAATGTATAAAAAAACAAAACAACAATAAGAAAAGATACTGTGAAATTTCACAGTAATTCACAGCTAGTCCTCTCCTTGGAATGAGTAATATTTCCCCCTTTTTGTCCATCAGCTTATGCAAAATTTTACCTTACAATGGAGCAAAGGTTAATACAAGCCCCTCTAACAGCTCAGTTGGGATTCCAAAGTTACTCTTTTTAGCCTAATGCCAGAATAATAATAGACGACAATTACTATTAGTTAAACGTTTCTGGCTAATTGCTTAAGTATCCTTCATGAGCTTCTTACAAGGTTAGCTGGAAGTTTAGCTCACTCCTACTGACATAACTTGTATAACTGAATCAGCTTTGTGGGTCACCTTGCTCAAAGTTCCTTTTTTTTTTCCAGAACTCTCAATGAGAGAGAGATCAGGGTGTTGTAATGGTCGCTATCAAACCGACTTCCAACAACTAGACATTCCCTGGGTTTTCATACTAATTAGAGCAAATAAAACCAAAGAAAATTAGAACTGTAAAGATCTACAATTTACTTCTTAAAACATTTGGCAAATTCATTTGGATTTTTTCATGTAGCTATTTTAGTATAGCTCAGTATTTGAGATATTGCATCTGAAATGCATGTGCAGATGTGTTCAATGAACCGAAAAGGTATGTTTCCTCCTTTGGATAATTTCAACACACTTTAAAATGAATTAAATTTTGTTGTATTTAATACCAGACAGTAAAAAAAATGTATAAAGTGCATTCAAATGTGTCTGTTTCAGCTGTACGCAGTAGAAATCAGTGAATTATTTTTGTCCCAATTTCTATCTCCTTTTTTCAATGGTAAATCAGCGTGTACCAATTTGCTAACACTTTTCAGCATTTAATAGTATAGCAGTCTTTTCTTGACAGAAATTACAGAAGTATACTTATCTGATGAATTTGCACTATTGTTGTGTAAAAGACTTGTAATAAACATTTGGTTACAGGTTATGTTTTGTTGTCTTTTTGTGCACAGCTCCATCTGATTCACTGGAACAGTACTCTCTTTAACTCCTTAGAGGACGCTCTGGGGAAGAAGAATGGAGTCCTCATCATAGCACTTTTTGTCCAGGTAAATATCCAGTCATGTGCCTTTAACTGTATTTGAGACTGATTATCTTTTTTTGAAACTAAAGAAATGTTAATGTTAGTGCTTTATTCGGGAAACATTAAAGGAATAGTACACCCAAAACATGATTAGCCTTCATTTTCTACTCACCCCCATGCTGAACAACACTCTGGAGTACTTTTTTGATATCTCAAATGCATCTGGAGATCTGGGAGACTTCTTGCTGTCTGCTGACATTCAAATAATGGAGGTCTATGGTGACCGAGACAGAAAGGTCCATAAAAGTCCACAAAAAACGTGTCAATATTCCTCCATACTTCTCGTCCAATGTATTCCAAGTGTCCTGAGTGGGTAGCATCCAGAATTTACTCGAAACGAAGTCATTTAGAATGTTTTTAGAGCATAAACAGTAGTGTATAGTATTTCCTGAAAGCGCGCACATGCGCGCTCACGACGCTACGGAAGCCGACAGACCAAACCAGCGCATTCAGCTCGGCAAAGAACTCATGCTCTTCCTCAACACTGAAGTCCTCAGACATTTTTCTTTCGTTGTTTCTTTCTTTGCACAGGTAAACAGCACATTTCTTCTTCTACGCTTGCATTATTGGCGGAGCAGACGCTGAATGCGTACTTTCATCTGGTTTGGTCTGCCGGCTTCCGTAGCGTCGTGAGCGCGCATGTGCGCGCTTTCAGGAAATCCTATACACTACTGTTTATGCTCTAAAAACATTCTAAATGACTTCGTTTCGAGTAAATTCTGGATTCTACCCACTCAGGACACTTGGAATACATTGGACGAGCAGTATGGAGGAATATTGACACGTTTTTTATGGACTTTTATGGACCTTTCTGTCTCGGTCACCATAGACCTCCATTATTTAAATGTCAGCAGACAGCAAGAAGCCTACCAGATCTCGAGATGCATTTGAGATGTCAAAAAAGTACTCCAGAGTGTTGTTCAGCATGGGGGTGAGTAGAAAATGAAGGCTAATCATGTTTTGGGTGTACTATTCCTTTAACTACTAGATAATATAGAATACGGATAAACTACAAAGGCAAAATTAATAAGATATGGCAAAGTGTTTTTAATGATGCTGTGGAATAAGAGAATTTAGATAAATTTGTAAGAATAAGAGGCCATTTTTGATATTCAAAGCGCCTTAGCTGAGACCTCTTGATGTGGAGGAGAATGGGCTCTACGCCTGGATGAACAGAGCTTATGACCCTATGTCCAAGGGAGTGCCCAGCCACCCTGCAGGGAAAGCTGATTTTGTATCTCGGATCTTTTTGTTTTGGTCATGACTATAGATGAGGGGAGCAACATAGACCAACACATAAATTGAGTGCTTTGCCTTTTTCGCTCAGCTCCTTCTTCACCACAACAGACTGCTCTGTTTATCTGCCGCTCTATTGTCCTCTTACTGATCAACAGGACTCTTGGTCCATCACCAAGCATAGACTCTCCTCCATCCTGAAGGGGTCAAGCCACCCTTTTTTGGTTGAAAACCAAGGCCTTCTCATTCCGGCTGCTTAATACTCTACTGCGAACTGTCCTAGTGCATGCTGTAGGTGTTGGCAGGAGGGGTCTGCCGAACCAGGTCATCTGCAAAAAACAGGGATTTAATTTGCTGGTCCCAAAACCAGATCCCCTCAGGCTCTTGTCTGCACACGGAAATCCTGTCCGTTAAGGTAATATACAGCACCGGTGAGGAAGTGCAGCCCTGACAGAGTCCAACTTTCACCAGAAACAGGTCGGACTTAATGCCGCCAATGCAGACCAACTCCTGCTCCACTCGGATGACCCCTGGCAAAGGGTCCACCGTGGGGGACACATTTAAATGCTTCTCAGCTTCACAAAACACATGCCTGGTTCGGCAAAACACATTTGGTCCCGAGGACAAAATCCCATAAACTCTCAAGCACTCTGCAAAGGGTGCAGAGCTGGTCCGCTGTTCCGTGGCCAGGACGAAAACCAGAATGCTTCTCCTAAAGCCAATGTTCGTCAATCTGCCAGACTCCCCTCTCCAGTACTCTGGCATAGGTCTTCCCAAAGAGGCTGAGATGTGTGATCCCACTGTAGTTGGAACAAATCCTCCAGCTCAACTTTATACAGGGCAACTTCTTTCCCAGTCTGCCAGTCCAGGGGCGCTGTCCCCAACCTCAACGCAATGTTGAAGAGGTTAGTCACCCATGACAGCCCAACAACATCCAGAGACTTAAGGTACTCAGGTCAGGTGTTATCCAAGCCTTTACTAATGTGGAGTTTAGCACTTAGTTCCTTCTCCCACCACGGAAGGTGTGTGAGCCGGGTTAAGGTTCCACTGCCAATGTCTTCATTCAAGGTCAGTTGATCCCCACTCCCACTAAAAACAGTGTTAGCAAAGCACTGTTTCCCCCTGTGGAGTTGCCGGATGGTTTGCCAAAATCCCTAAAAGGCCGACCTATGGTCTTTCCTAACTCCTTCCAGGTCTAAGTTCTTATCTCTGCAACCACTCACGCAGCAGCATTGGCATAACATTTCCTTCCTTTCCAGCTTAAACAACTCTTCATAAAAAGGTCATTGTCAGGACATCAGGCAAAAATGTTTGATCTTTTCTTAACAATCAAGGTAATGTAAATCTATAAAAGCATCGTGTCAAATGGAATGTGTGACATCAAAACAAATCCTGCTTAGGAACCCTTGGACCACCTTTAAATTTCTCTTTCTTTTTTATTCATAAATATATTTCTAATACATTGCAATATTTATGTATGATGTTAAACACCTTTCTAACCTCACTATGTAAATGAAAAAGGCACAACAATATGGCCACTATCAGGTTAAATACATGAAAATGACGATCTCTTCATCATGGTACCCATTAGTAAGCAGCATGTGAATATTTTTTCCTTAAAGTTAATGTTAAAAGCAGGATAATAGCAGAAGCGTAATTACTTCATACACATAAGTTATAGTATGTTAAAACTGCAGGTGATGTGGGGGGTTCCTGGTCTCCAAAGTCATTATCTATCCAAAGGGGTTTAAGGAAGGAACCATCAGCAACAGGGTCATCATGACCAAGGCTCAATGATGCATGTGGGAAGTGGAAGCTGGCCCATCTTTTCCAGTCCAATAAACAAGCAGTACAAACTTTTTAAGAATTTAATGCTAGTTCTGATAAAAGGTGGGAAGAACACAAAGTGCATTTCTTATTATGTATGCTGCTGCATCGCTGCAGACCAGTCGAGGGAGGAAAGTAGACTGTCTGGTCAAATGCATTATGTTTCTATTTACATCTCTTGGATGATATGGCGTGTTTGCATTGCTTGCCTGGAAAATGTACAGCTTCAAGATGCATTATGATGGTTTATATTCCATTGTTCTGGTGGATAACCTCAGGCTCTACACTATATGCATGGTTGCTTTGACACATAGACCCTACCTAAGCAACAAACAATGAGCCTTTTCATGGAGAAGTAAAAACTGCCAGATTTCGTTTGATCTAGCCCCTTCCAGGCATCCACAGGCTTCCAGGAGGGTTCAGAGTCTGACTGGGACCAGAAGCATGACCAGGTGGTCATGCACAGGAGCAGACAGGATCAGGTGCAGACAGGCAGGCACAGTGGCAGAGAGTAGCCGAGACAGGACGTAGGAATCGGAACTTGAAGCAGGACTTTAAACTGGTCTCCGCCCTAGAGCCAGGCTTACTTAGATAAAAACTGAACCTCCCCCCATAATGAGCCAAAAACCCAGAGGACTCCGCGGGGGAGGAACAGTGGACAATCAGGAGACGAGACAAACACTAAAACCCTCTTTCTACTGGCAGCTAGGATCCAGGACAGGAACCATAAAATAAAACTGAACAGAAAGACTGACAGAAAGACAAGTAATGATCTGGCACTGAATGCTCAGGCTGAACTGAAGATAAACCAGAGGAAACAGGTGAGGGGAATAAATTATAATTGAGGCAGGGAAGGAAGAGGGCAGGTGAGAGGAATTACTAATTAGGGAGGAGCAAACAGGCCAGATCATTACATAATCCCCATTACTTTCTGAATCCTGTCAAACTGTTGCTTTAAAGATTTAGTTTGCATTGTTTAATCACTACCTGGTTATTTTAATAAACACATTTTTTTCATAAAAATATAATATTTCAAGTTTCTTTAAGTTGTGTTTGGTTTTAGCTAGGTGTTTTTTTATTTTCAGTTCGTGTATTCCTGAGAAATGGTCTAAATCTCCACCATATAACATATTTTGAAAGATTTGTTCAAAAAAATAACATTAGTATGTTCTTTTTCTCTTTTTGGCACTTTAAGAGTTTCCTTTATCAGTTTAAATCTGCCGGCTAAAATATGAATTTAACTGCTGAGTAGAGACCATTGCATTCATGTGGGATCCGCTTTCTGCTTCTTCTTCATGGCATTCACTGATAACAATCCACGGCACACCTGCAGGGAAATACCTTGGCTCCGTGATGACCTTAGTGGTGTTGCTGGAGGAAAACGCCTCATTCTTCTTTTGAACCCAAACTTTCTGGACCTGAATTCTCGGTCTTTCTTTTGACCTCATGCATCCTGTTTTATACTAAGCTGACCTTATTCTTATTCACTTTTCTTCCTGTCAGATAACACAACATAGACTTATCTTTGCTGTCAGCTGCATTTTTCTCTGCTGAAAATGTAGCTGAACTCTAGAAACAGTCATTAACACCACTGATAAGTCTTTGCTGAAACCCCCATTTTATTCTTTTCTTTTGTTTTATCAGATTGGCAAAGAGCACCTGGGTCTAAAGGCCATCACTGAAGTTCTCCAAGACCTGCAATACAAGGTGAAAGCAGTTTAATGCTGAACAGGAGGGATTAATTGATGCGTTAGGAGTGTAACTCTCCTTTTGCTACTGTATTTCCTTCAGGCGAAGAGCAAGATAATCCCATGTTTTAATCCAAACACGCTCTTACCTGGTAAGATAAAATTAATTGATATCAAAGTTGCATTTTCAGGTGAAAGTTTAATTTGACAAAGTCATGCAAGTTAGCAGCCCAATAGAATAGCATATGGGAATAAACTCCGCTTCCAGAGTAAATTACAGACACATAGAGTGAAATAATTAGACCTATAACAGGATTATACAATTTTAGAGCAATGTAATAAAATTGACAGCTTTTTTTTTAGAAAGAACCTAAATGTACCTAAATTATTATTATTATTCTGTAAACCAGAAATGATTAAAATTATACATACAAGCTCAAAATTCAGACATGATCACCAGTGTTTGTATGAATCCTATTAAGCAATGTGGACCGTCACTACATGCCTTTTGCAGACATCCGAGAGGTCTGCTGATGTCTGCACAATGCTGACTGAATATTTGACCACTTCCTTAGAATAGCTGCAGTTCAGTTGAAAATGGTTGTAGGTATTTCAAAAGATCCAGATTTGTCTGCTTTATCAATTTTGAAAACAAATTTAAGACTAAATCTCACCCAAAAACAGTAAGGTTTCCTATTTGTTGTTACTAACTGATTGAAAAAAAAAGAATATTTCTTTCCATTTTATGAATTAAAAAGCAAAATGCACTTTGTGCCTGCAGTCATATGCGTACTTGTCTCTCTCATGGGACGGCAATCTCAGACGCCCAGACCTCCCTCTTCCCACACACCTCCTCCTCCCAGTGGGTCAGCGTGGCGCACCCCCTAATGGAGACATCCAGGGGGATCAAATTCCTGAACCACTTTAGCTGAGACCTTATCTTGGAGGGAGTTATGGGGTGTGCAGAGAAAGCCGCTTCAGTCCCTTGTATCTCAGTATTAAAATGAGATATTAGACTATCTGTGCAATGTTTAAATTGGATGCAAGTGCTAGCAAAAAATTGATAACAAAAACCAGCAATCATGTCAGAAATATCATTTCTCCCAGTTGGAATTCCAATTTCAGGCAGCATTCCTATATCTTTTATGGCTGAGTATTAAGAAAATCCAACCTCTTAGTACAAAGATAATGCAGGATAAGAACATTATGCCAGCACACACGGTGGTGGCAGAATAATGCTAAGGGATTTTGTTAATCTGGTTGTGGGAGAAGTTCACTCTTGAAACTTTCTTAATTCAAAGCAAATCATTGAACTATTCAGAGCAATAAAACATGGACATCATTTAATTGCTCAAACAAAACAACAGTCATAAAAACACAGTCGAATGTCCACTGTACCTTCTGAAAGGGCACTAATTGCTAAAATCAGGTTCTATACTATATCTCTACCATCTGAGAGTTTCAACATCTAGGCAGAATTTTTAATAACCACAAAGGTTCATCTGTAAATGGCTAAGGGGGATTTTACCTAAATTTCATTCAGGGTGTTAATTTGAGCTCATACCTATTAGTTCAAATTTAAATCACTGCAGTTGTATATTTGATTATAGGTGTACCATTGAAAGAACAGTTCAATAGGAATTTTTTTTCTGCTGAGTGAATGTAAACTACTGAATGGGACAGTTCAAGGCTGGAACCTGCAGAGATAGCTGTTTTCCGTTTCTCACTATCCATATTTTCTTTCAATGAAAAAGAATTCTTTATTATGTTACCATGACAATAAAACTGTTGTTTAGCACAATAATTTTAAATTTGGTCCTAAAAGGAACAAATATATGTGAGGAACATTTCCTAAAGGGACCTAAAAATCCAAAATGGCTTTGATAAAAAGACCAGAGGTCAAGTAGTAAGCTGTTAATGAACTATCAATGCTTTACAATATGGCAAATAAATTATTAGTTTGTGCGAATCATGATTATCCTCATTTGCAAGCAACGCAATAACTTATACATTGAATTTGTGTGGTTTTTGTTTGCTTTACAAGTTTCAGGGAAGAAGAAATCTTTGAACAAACCATCCACTATTTAAATGACATAGGAGGAAAGTCAGTGGTTGTACTGGGAAAGGGAGGGTCAAACAAGAATATCTCATATCAGATCACACCGTGTACCGGTTGTAATTTATAGTTTAATTAAGCCATCTGTTCTTGTAGCTGCACTCTAACTTGCTGCTTTCCTCCCTTTTATTATAACTTAATCCACGGGATTAATTCTTAAAACTTTAACCAATTTTGTATGTCAAAATGTCAACGCAGGGTGGAGGTTGGTTGAGGATCCAAATGCAAAGATTAGGAGGCTGAGATGAGTTTTGCTGATTTAATGAAAAACTGATTTAATGAAAATCCAAGAACAAAATACTAGAAACCAAAAAGCATGAGACGTCAGGGGACAACACACATGAGTAGCCAAGTAAAACTGAGACACCGGCAAATGGTAACTGAAGAGGAGGAGTATGTATGAGCGACAGAACAAAGACTGGACTAATCAGTTGATAGGGGGCAGGTGTGGATAGAAGTAACTAGAAGGGTGCTGGGGGACAGGAGACCGGCACAAGGGGACCAACATGACCAACAAAACAGAATGGCATAAATAACTGAAAACTCAAAAATAAGTCCAAAAAGGAAAACCATAACACTGAACCTTTAATAGATGCCAATTCATCCCCATTTGAATGAATTCCTCTGAACATGAATCGATCTGTTTGTAGATATTTCAGAAAAGTAAAATAGGAAAAAAAGATCACATTCCTACAAATGCCAATACCCTTCTTTAATTAAGGATTAGTGTGCTCTTCTTTTGATAATCAGACCCGCTGTTGAGAGACTACTGGGTGTATGAGGGATCACTGACCACGCCTCCTTGTAGTGAAAAAGTCACCTGGATACTCTTCCGCTATCCCCTCACCATCTCACAGTTACAGGTAAGTGGTCAATGTTAAGAAATGCTGATTCTGAAACAAGCAAAACAATTCTGGCTCTCTGATCTAGAACTGAAAAAATGCAAACAGTATTTAGAAGTAACAACATTACGGCATAGGACTTAGCAATGTAAAAACTGATTGTGGTCAGCCAGCATAGGGTTAGCCTTTCCTGAAGACCGTGCATTATTTATTTGAGGACATTCGTAAAGGAATATGCAAGCCATTGTTCTGCATAAGTACATCAGAATAAGTGTATAAATATTACAAAAATCATCAAAAATGAATGCCTTATCAACAAGAGTTCAACAAACCTCTGAAGGGAATCAAACTCCACTTCTGTAGAGACAGGGTCTTGTATTTTCAGATGACACCCTGGTTCAACACACCTGAATCCAATGGCTAAATTATATCCATACTTTCTAGAGTCATGAAAATGGACAAAATTATTTGCTTTTGGTTGGTTGAAGCCCAAACACGTAGACTAACTATGTCTCTTGAGGTCCGATGATTTAAACTCCTAATATGAAGCAGCAAAGTTTGCTGCATCTTTAGTCTTCATGTTTCCTGGGAGGAATCTATTTTCACAGCTCATTTTTCATTTAACAGACACATTATGTTTGAAAACATGACAATAACTAACCACACATGTTGTATGCGAGACAAATAGAGTTAACAGATAGATTACTACTAAAGACCCGCTGCTAGTTTACGACATTCCCCATCTGGTGGATGGAGGTAACAACACAAAGGCAGAATGGGCTTGATGGTGCTCTGTTACAATGAGTCATTTGAGTTTGTGCAAACTATAAGTTTCTAGATGAAAAGGCTGGTTAAATCAGGGTTTATTGTCCAATTTGAGTCGGTGCAATTTAAAGTTGTCTGCTATTACAGCTTGGTCTCTTTTAGTTATTTACTGTTAAGGTAACAAAAGGCTTTTATGGTTTTTTTTCTTCAGAAATTCGAATGAAAATTCAAATGAAAATAACTTCATGTGACAATTTTTTTGTTGGCACACAAAGAATTGAACTTTTATTTTCCAAAAGCAATCCAGAAAGAATTTCATCTTGTCATTTTATCTAGTCCAAAGACTTTAGAGTAATTCAGTGAAAGTGAAGTAGTATCCAAAAATGCGCGTTAAGGACTGTTTATAGTGTTTGAATAAAGGGGCCGAGAACACATCCTTGTGGTTCTCCACCAGTTGACATGGTTATGTCCATTTTTACAGCTTGCAAGTGGGTATAACCATTTTTGTGTTGTGGATGATACAAATGGGAGGAAAGTGTTAATTTGATGTAATATTTGGATCGTTAAAGGCCTCTGAATGGGTTGAAAGTGGAATACAAGACTAACCAGACAAAGGGACCTAGTGAATGCAAGTGCTGAAGAAACAGGTGCAGCAGCCTGGCCACAGAGTCGTCTTTGTTCCTTTTAGTCTCGCTGAGTCTATATGAGAGAGACATTTATTACCTTAGTGAATATGTAAGTAAGTTGCTTCTTTTAAAAGGGTGGATACTATAGCAGTGCAGTATTACAGACAGAGTAGTAAAAAAAGGAAGGTAATTGGCATGGAGTAGGTGAGATGCTAGCAAGCTGCAGAACATCAGCCTGTTCAAAACAAGCAGGCTGAAGCCATGCATCAACCCTGCAAAGAGTATTGTCTCTTTTGGGTCAGATGGAAGGAGTGATCTTAGTCATTTATGAGTACACGTCAAACCAAATATGATTTTCCATACTTAGTCTTAATGATATACAGAGGCCTATCTACAGAGCAAAAGAAGGTAACAACAATTATATCCCAGCTGTGACTCTGATGACCGAATTGCCTTCTGCTTTGTTTACTCACTTTAACTTATAAAGCGTTATTATTGATATCCTTTAACAACTAAACCTGAAGCATAATCTAGACCTATCTCTGACTTATATTATCTTAGAGTAGCATGAACTCAGAGTTTTCTGGCATTCACCACAGCAGGATCCGGGAAGCCTTTCCACCCACCACCAATCAATAAGTCTGTCATGTTGCCTTTGATTGATCTAAACTTTAATTCAACCTTTGCCAACTCGTGGCTTTCTTCCAAAGGGTTTCTGTAATAGATGAAGGTGCTAACCCTCTGACATTTATTTATGTCTTTCATCTTGGCTACACTTTGGCCTGCTGACCCTTTGAAATGCGAGCACAAAGAGTGAATTCTGGCGGTCCTGCCTGAGGCAACGTGGGTACACAACAGCAGAGGAAAGCAGGCAGAATGCGAAGACAAAAGCTGCTTTGTTTTAACACAACCTACAAAAAAAACATCCATTTATTCAGACAAAAAAACATAACATTGAGCAAGTTTTGTTGACACCAACATAGATGTTTGGATGACATAGGTTGTTAATTAACTTGTGCCAGTTTTCCTCTGTGGTTCAACTTAATGGAACAATGAGAAGCTGCTCAGATGAGCTATCAGTGGTTCCTGATTTCAGCTAATCCGGATATGGACTAATAAATTATGACTGACTCGCTTTGATAAAGTGATTATTTCCAAGGCAACTCCCACTGTTATAAAACAGATCTGGATATGTGAATGTCAGCTGGTAGCATAACTGATGTTACTGTTATTAAGTAATAAAAACATAATCATCTCTTCTTCTCTTGGGCTCATCAGGTTCTATAAACCTTTTTGGAGAGTATAAGATATGAGCAGTTTATCCTGAAGCTGACACTATAGATTTTCTTTAGACTAGAGAGAATAACATTTAATATTGGATAAAAAAAAAAAAGACAAATTAAAAGATAAATGGAGTTTAGTTTATCATAACTTATTTTAACTTATTATTTTTATTTTTTTTATTGTGATTTCATTGCATTTCCTTCTATGTAAATACTTTTGTACATCAAAGGCATACCCCAGGTGCTTCATGTCATGTTTAATGATTTGTTTTTTCTTTTTGATTATTTTTTTTTTCATAAATAAGAAAATAGATAAAAATAAAACCAGCATACAAGTCAATACATGGAACCAGAGCTTGATGATCTGTTTCACGGTCTTTCTCATAATTGAAGGTTGCTAGCTTGCACCTGGTCAAGCACATTCATTTGAATTACAAAAGGAGAGAGGAAGGTTAATCTAGCAATTATTTAAAAATCTTGATCATCCATCCTTCGCTGCTTATTCCGTCAGGGTGGCAGTGGGGCCTGTGCCTATCTCTGGCACACTATGGGTGTAATGGTCATCTGTCTGTTACATGGCAAAACAGAGACGCACAACCATGCACTGACACTCACAACTGCAGACAATTTAGAGAAGCCCATCATCCTAACAGTTATGCTTTTGGACTGTGGGAGGATGCTGGAGTACCTGGAGAGAACACATGCATGCACAGGGAGAACATACCAACTCCATCGAACCAGGAACTTTCTAGCTGCATGGCGATAGCGCTACCCACTGTTCTCTGTGCACTCCAAAATCCTTATCTATTTAAAGTTTATACACAATAAAATCTATTAAAAGCACATGGCCATTAACGCCTAATGTGATGTTTAAGGATTACTGAGCTGATACTAAATGGTCTTGTCTACCTAGATAACCCCTCTAACCCAATTCATCATCACCGCCTATCTATTCAGTTGGTGCAAATGCTTACAAAAAAAGATTTTTTAGAAAAAATAAGGAAATTGTTAATCCTCATTGAATAATATTGCACTAAAGTCCAAATCTCTTTATGAAGCCTCATGTAATTCTAGATAACTGGTGTAGTAGGACTTCCCCTCACTGTCTTAACTTGTGGGAAACAACCTGTCGGGTTTTTTTTGACTCTGTGTTATCTCTCTGTCATGTTCATATATTTCTGTGCATTTTTTCTGCTCTATATTAGGAATTTAATTGTCAGTATTCTACTCTGTGATCATGCATACGTATGTGAGTAGCGTGAGGTGCACAGAAATAAATACACTGAACATCAGATATATACTTACATTGCTTATTTAGTAGCATGGGGCTTTATCATCCAAAAAAAACACCAAAGCCTCGCAGGTACTGCCTTCTTAGAAAACGGACTTTAAACATCCGGCTATTATCCATTATTAGACGACGGTAAGCATGTGTGCTGAGTGGGGGTGTACTCATAAATGTCAGACAACGGTTGCCATGCTCACAGGATTTTCACTTTTAGAGGGTGCTGTAAAAGTTTTCAACGCCAACCAGTGACAAATCAGTTCAAGTAATGCTGTTTGTTTTAGTGATGTGGCTGAATCTCTAAGGTACACGAGTGCAGAAGTGATGCAGTCTGCAGCTGCTACAAATTCACATGAAAAGGAAGTATCTTTTTGAATCTTTCTGTTTATGGATCGGTTTTAAACATGTTGGCCACACAGCAGAATATAAAAAACATTCTTAGCCTGTTCCTCTGCTCAGCTTATGTAAGCAAACATATAAAGCTTGATAGAAACATGTACTACGGTGACATGCTATGATTAATTCAGTTTTTCATGGATATTTTAGAGAACTGAAAGTTTTTGTTAAAGGAAACAATCCAATAGTGTCATTATTACCCTCAGATTCCCATGCAGGTGCAGTGCGTCATGTAGGGAACAGAAAGACACAAGGCCGTGACCTTTTTTTCGTTATTTTTTGTACCCAAAATATTCTGCCTTTTTGTTTGCAGATTGAGGAGTTTCGGAGGTTACGGTCGCACGTCAAGGGGGCGGAGCTACCTGAAGGAAATGATGGGTTGTTGGGGGACAACTTCCGCCCCACCCAGCCTCTCAGTGACAGGACGGTCCGCGCTGCCTTCCAGTGACTCTCCCTTTCCTGTACCATCTAAGTAAAACTCTGGGACCTACAGATGCAGAAACAAGTACGTAACAGTTTCAACAATGAGCTCAGCTGTGTCCTGATTACCGAATAATCTATAACCGTTTGAAACCCAGTTAAATGAAAACTTTTTATAGTTTGAACTCAAATAACTTGTTTGTAATGTCATTTTTTTAATCATGAAAGTGCTGTTTAATGCATCGCCTATAAAGATTAAAAAACCCAGAACACGTTCCACTTGTCACGACACACCATTTCCAGTGTTATTCATCTGCTCGGCACATTACCTCTCAAGGGACACGTTTTTAATGGTACAATGGTACATTGTCCCAGAGGCAACGGATCAAGCCCTGGAAGAACTAACCCAGTTCACTTACTAATCTGGGACAAGGTTCCAGATTTAGCTCAGGAGCACTGCGTCAGGAAGACAAGGCAGAGTCAAACCCAGAGATACGATGAATAGAGACAGCAGTACATATTAGCTAATTCCATGACTTCTAACCAAGAGGGGTCAATAAGCAGGTAATTTTTGCGCTGAAAGCTGCAAAACAGGAAATGTAAGTGCAGGAAACTATTTAACCTTACAGATCACTTATATCTTTGCTTCTTTTGTCTGTTTCAGTGGTTGTCTGGTTTCGGTTTTCTTGTGATTACAGCGGCAAGTCTTTCTGAGTATGTCTCTACCATCTCTGTACATCTAGTGACTGAAGTGTTTGTCCATTCGCTTTTGCAAAATAGATCACGCTTACTAAGATTAGTACAGAGAGTGTTTGTGAGAAGCAATATTTTCAAATATTGCAGTAGATTTTCGATCTGGGCCATTTTGACACATGAATATGTTTTGTTTTAAACCAGTCTGTTGTAGCCCTGTCTTTATGTTTAGTGTCATTGTCCTGCTGGAACGTGAACCTCTGCCTCACTCTGAAGTCCTTTGCAGACTTAGCAGGTTTTCCTCCAGGATTACCCTGTGTTTGGCTCTATCCATCGCCCGTGAACTCTGACTGAGTGATCTGCAGTGTTAGTTCTCCACCATACATAAAGTTTTGCATTTTTTCCACAAACGTTCCAATTTTATCTCATCTGAGCAAAACATCTTATGTCATTCTGTAAAAGTTAAAAAAGCAATCCACTGGACTTGGTTTCCAAAGTTTGAAATCTTGGAAACCAAGTCCAGTGGATTGTTTTTTTAAACTTTTACAGAATGACTATGACCTGGATGACTGAGCATCTTTATCAGCAAAACATCTTATAGTTTATGGTTTTCTTGTAACCATGGCTTTCTTCTTACCACTCTTCCATAAAGACATATTTTTGTGCAGTGGACCACTAATAATTGTCCCATGGACCGATTCCCCCGACTCTAGCTTGGGATCTATGCTCTGCATCCAGAGTCACCATGGTTCTCTTGGCTGCATCTTTGATCAGTATTCTCCTTGGTCAGCATGTACGTTTCGGTGGACAGCCTCGTGTTTGTAGGTTTACACTGGTTCCAAACTCATTATTTCTAGACGATGGACTGAACAGTGCCCTGAGATGATCAACATTTGGGAATTCTTTTTATAGCCTAAACCTGCTTGAAACCTCTCCAAACCTTTATCATTGTCCTTTCTGGTGTGTTCCTTGGACTTCATGTTTTTTTGCTCCCCAACATCTTATCTAACCTCTGAGACGATCATAGAGCAGCTGTATTTGAAATGAATTTAGATTATACACAGCTGGACTATATAAAGTCTTTTGCTGGACTATATAAAGTTCTTTTTTGCACTTAAAGAAATGAGGCTGAATAATTTTGCACTCCACTTTTCAGTTTTTTTATTTGTAAAAAACAGATTTAAAACATGTATAATTTTCTTTCTACTTCACAAATGTACACCTCTTTGTGGTGTTAAGACTTTGTGGTAGTAATCTGACATGTCCAAAAGTTAAAGGGGTGTGAATACTTTTGCAAGCCGCTGTAAATCAACTAGTCTTCCCACTGAGCCAAAGCAACTCATAGCCCTGAAAATCTAAACTTAAGGGTTCTCCTGCATATATTTGGTCATTGGATTCATTGAGAACCTCAGACTATTTCATGCTGATGCTGACTGTAGATGGCAGCCGTATTCTCTCAGGTAGAAATAAAAGAAAGTCAGAATACCCTGACTTTTAATTATAACAGTAAATAGGAGTTTATTAACATCCTTCTAATACTTCCTGTGGTGCAGTTTACTCTTACTGACAATATAAGGCATCAGGTAATTAGAAGCTGAAAGGATAGAAGAAAAAAAGACTCTTTTTGACAGAATCCCCTCATATAGGGTTGAAACTTTAAAAGTCATATACAGAGAAAACAGTTGCAACGAGAGGTACCAACTACGGTACCAGAAATACATGGCTCCTAAAAAAGCAAGATGCTCCAGGTTTTCTTTGTTATTCATATTTCTACACATTACCCTGAGCCAAAGTACAAATGAAATAGTACATATCTTTGATTCAAGCTTTTTCTACCCACAGACACACACCATTGAAATGGTAAAGGATTTATGTTTTTAAATCTTTGTTTAAACCTTGGAATGTGATTTGAGGAGCTTGACTTTTGGACACAACCTAAATAAATTCACATTACTTTGTGTTAAAGGGGCAGCAAGATGGAGAAAGAAGGGCTCGGTTTAGGTGGAAAAAAAGAGAAGCACGTTGAAAGGAAGGAGGTAGAGGGTCTCTGTGATGACGGGAGGCGGGAATGCAGAGGACTGAAAAAGGAGGAGGCCAGTGGAGCAGAATGGGAAAAAACAACAGAGGGTTATTGTTGTTGGAGGGAAAACTGATGCTGATGAGGTCCCAGCTGCATAAGTCCACCTGAAAAAAAGAACCGTGGATGAGGCAGGGGAGGACTAGTGGGGAAAAACATCCACCCTCTATCAAACAAGTCATGCTTTTCTCAGTGCAGGTATTCAAATGTTAACCTGCGTACAGCCTCGTAATGATGCTGTGACCATAACAGCAAAGAGGTTCGTTAGTTTCCTCCCTTTTCTCAAAGATTGTAATGCTGACATTCAACTCTATCTTCAAGAAACCCTCAGAACATACTCTTGAAATTAGATTTTTATTTTCGCTTTGTAAAAATAAAAGTAAGAGGAATATCAGGTGGTATGATTGCTGCTGAAGAAGCTGACCCTCTTAGAAAAAGCAGATTGGATCATAACCAAAAAACATTATATGGATATATTAAGGCAATATCTCAAGACAAATTCCAGGAAGTTAAAGCTTCAGTTTAAATTGGTCTTCTACAAGAACAGTGACCATGAGTGTTGCATTAAATTACTTTCAAAGTAAATTTATATAATAATCATAAGTTAAGAAATTTATATAGACAGAAAAAGGACATTTTCTAAAACCTAACTAACCTAAAAGAGAGGAAGTTTTGTCTTATCTAACTATATACAGTGAGAGGAAGGAGGTCAGATCATTAAAAATAATTACTCAAAATAATTTGGGAGATTTTACTGAGCTTTTTATCTTTTGTTATCTGTTTTTTAAAAGGCTTGCAGGCTTTATGTAAAGATGGAAAAGTTTCCTTTTTCTCTCCTCTATATGGTTTAATGTGTGACACTGAGGTAAAACCCCGTTAAGCTGTTTTTGTTTTCCCCTCTCAGCTCGATAAAGGAGCAAAACTGCTGCTGAAAACGTGGGAGTCATAAAAAGGCTATAAAGGCCTTCTCTATGCTTTTTAGCCCCAGAATGGCTGCTGGGCACATCTGGATTTCTCTAAATCAGATCCATGTTTTTCTTTCTTTCTTTACAGTGGGAGAGAAAACAGAGGAGTGAAGAGAGGAGTGGAAACAGGAAGAAGGAGGGGAAATTAGTGTGATAACAGACCCAAGGCAAACTGAACATGGACAGAGGCTTTTAGTATTACACCCTTAATGTGTGTCAGCGCGTGTGTAGCCTTCTTTTCCTCTAACGTTTCTCTCTCCTCCTATTCTCTTTGCTGCTGGTTCGTCATCCTTTTCATGTGCATATTTGTCTTACCTATGGTTTAGGCGCTGCTGTATCTCCATGCTATGTGTGTGTTGTGACTAAAACGATTGGAGGCTTCCACAATCTGCTAATCTTTGCTGCAACAACAGGAGGAAGTGTTGACCACAGATGTTAAAGAGGCCAAAACACACACAGCTTCACACATCATGTTCTATATGCTTTGATTCATATTTCCTCACTAACTCTACATTTTATCAGCTAAGAATCAGCCTATTTTTGTTCCTATTAGGCCTTAATTAATAAATTTAAATAAAAACAAATGTATTTGGAAGGTAAACTGTGTATAGAAATAAATTACTTTAAAAATCAGTATTCCAGCTCAATTTCCTTCTTCATGTTCAATAAATTGCTGTGAATACATCTTCACCCAATCATTGGCTTTTATACTGACTAAATTATTTCAGTACTATTTCTAACATTTCTGCTATGTTTAAGCGAAAATTGAAGCAAAGGCAAAGATTGGAAAGACTGTATGATTCTTGTTTTACGGTCCTTTTTTTGTCACACTGAGCAGGTAAAATTTATAGCTGCCCAATCAAGTTAAATAGATGCAATAAAACTGCACTTAGGTTCTCATTTCATCCTCTAAATATAGTTTTGCCATTAGCACTGCAGTGCAGAGATAGAGGGACATATTTTCTAACAGGTGAGCTTCTGCTGATGCAGGAACTGCATCTCTCTGTTTTCTGGAGTACAAAGATTTGGGTTGATTTTATTTTTTTTTTTCACTCGATAGTTGCAAATTTTAAAACCAGATGAATACCTTGTCTTTCCCTGATTCAAATATTTAAAACATGTTTAACTGTAATCAGATTGTACGATTATCATATGGTGTCTATATGAATATGTACTGCACTAATATGTAATTGATTGTCCGAATAAAAATAGGAACGTGTGTGCTTTTTTGACCCAGTCGCTTGTTCTTTCTTCTCTGCTTCCTCTTCCTGCTCCTTATCACTGAACATGATGCTACAATTTCTTTTCATTTCTTTGACAGATATCTTTTGTTTTTAAACTGCAGCCTTTAGTTGCACAGCAACCACCCTATCCACAGACTTATGTATTTATTGGTGTGAAGGTCGAGGTTTGCATATTGCAGCTCATTTGTTTGAAACATGACTTGCAAGCATTGTATGAAATTACACAAATTCAGGAAAAGATCCTGTGAAGACCATCCACGTTTATTCACATATTATGGATTGGTTATTAAAGTTCTTCAAACAAAGAAAATATATCAACATCATATTTTGATTTTGTTAAACCATGATCTCATTCTGAGTATAGAAATAGGTGTGTTGGTTGAATTTGACCGTGTAACTATTTGCATCGCTTCCTAAAAGATCTGAACTTTTATCGTGCATGTTAATTTATTCAAGCACATTTCTCTTTGTCCTTTATGTGCCTTTTTTGGAAGAGCACTTAAACTTCCTTGTAAAATCTTAAAGTTGATCTTAATAAAATTTGTTAATAGTTATTTTTTTTTAATTAATTGGAGTTTTTCCCTGAAACAAAGAAATTGCATTCATGTTTTTAACAGATTAACACAACATTTCTTTCTGGTGTCAATTGGGCACCAGCAGGTTAACTGATTTAGGGACAAAGTAAAAATGATGAGCAACATCTAAAAAACATTCCAGCTCTTCTTTTTTGAAAAGATGTATTTTAGCATTGGATGAATAGGTATTTTTTTCTCTGATAAAGGTCTGAAGGCTGCTGTCAGCAGTGCCACATTAAAGGAATAGTACACCCAAAACATGATTAGCCTTCATTTTCTACTCACCCCCATGCTGAACAACACTCTGGAGTACTTTTTTGATATCTCAAATGCATCTGGAGATCTGGGAGGCTTCTTGCTGTCTGCTGACATTCAAATAATGGAGGTCTATGGTGTCCGAGACAGAAAGGTCCATAAAAGTCCACAAAAAAACGTGTCAATATTCCTCCATACTGCTCGTCCAATGTATTCCAAGTGTCCTAAGTGGGTAGCATCCAGAATTTACTCGAAACGAAGTCATTTAGAATGTTTTTAGAGCATAAACAGTAGTGTATAGGATTTCCTGAAAGCGCGCGCCTGCGAGCTCACGACGCTACGGAAACCGCGGCAGACCAAACCAGACGAAAGTGCGCATTCAGCTCGGCAAAGAACTCATGCTCTTCCTCAACACTGAAGTCCTCAGACATTTTTCTTTCGTTGTTTCTTTCTTTGCACAGGTAAACAGCACATTTCTTCTTCTACGCTTGCATTATTGGCAGAGCAGACACTGAATGCGCACTTTCATCTGGTTTGGTCTGCCGGCTTCCGTAGCGTCGTGAACGCGCAGGACATAAAAACATAAGGTCTACACTTATTCCTGTGCAAAGATTTTTCAAATGCTTTCTCTAAATGTAGTCTTCTGTTCAGTTGGAAAATCACAACTGTAGAACTTTTGTTTGCTCAAAATAGAACAGGCTGCAGGAAAACTAAAATAAGGATTTTAAAATACAAAAAAACAGGAATCGGAGAGAAACCTGTTCCCCATGGCAATTATCTGTACTGGCAACCCTTCGCTATGATCCATTATAGCAGAATTTAGATGGCTCCAAAAAAGGATGTATGCATCAAAAGATGTCCAGATGAAGAACCTCTTAGATATCAGGTACACCTCTGGAAGTTTAACTGCAGAATAGCAGAATTGCCCATACAGTGTCTAGAGGATTTGCTTTATTAGATATCCATAAATAAAACTCACAGATTTAATCTGTTAAGTAATAAATTCAAGATCATACTGTATCACTTTTCAAGCTGATCCCAGCCGCCTCTCATCTGTGCAGCTACACTGCCATCTGCTGTTAGAAGGATCAATCATCAATCAGGCCCCACTGCCACAGATAAGTGACTGCAAAGTCTGTTCAGCTTATGTTTTATGTAAAACCACAGAAGAAACATGTATGTTGATTAATCAGTGAGGTGCAAAAACAATCAAGGCTGACAGAGGATAAAATCAGGGGACCTGCTGACCGACAGAAATAACCTGGAGTTGGGTGAAGTTCTTCCTATCTTTGATATAAATCGCAAGTTCTTGTGATTTAACAGAGAAAAATTGAGGCATATCAATGGGGGAAAAGCTTTTAGTTCTTTTTATAGAAAAAAGATCTGCAGATGACTTTTGGTGTTAAATCGTAACTTATGTCCCTCCTTAAATATATTATATATCACTCCAAACAAATAAAAAAATTAGCTTAATTGAAAATCCCATACGTAACTGAAAGATTAAAGAAATACGTATAGAAAACATTATTCTATCCATGATCAGATGATCATAGTATCAGGGTTTGGTTGAGGTTGGTTGAGGACCCAAATGTAGAGATGAGTTTGCAGATTTAATTGAGAACTCCAGAGGCAAACATCCAAAAAATACAGAAGAGCAAAAAAAACAGCAGATGCCATTAAGAGTCACACATGGGGAACAAGGATACAACAAAGCAACAAAACAAAAAGAAACCAGCATTGAAGAGGAGGTGTATATATGGGGAACAGATCAAAGAATGGTCTAATGAGCTGATATGGAGCAGGTGAGAAAGGAACTAACTAGAAAGAAGGCAAGGAGAAAAGAGACTGGCACAAGGGGGCAACAGAGAAACTGACAGAAAACAACTCCAAAGACACAGAATAACAAAGAAACTAAAAAAAAACTTAAACAGAGTGCAGAACCCTGACACATGGAAGCTACAAATTAGCTAAAGTATTTTACAGAATGTAGAAATAAGCATTTTGGGCAAATTAGCAATCATTCAATTTAGTAAATTCATTAAAAAAAAGTCAGAAATTATATTTTTTATCTTGCTCCACCATTTTCAAATTTATTCCATATAAGTGTGGAATTAACTGTTTGACCATGATTTGAGCTCGAATCACTCTTTCATTCTTGTTCTAACATACAGCTAGTAGGGCGTGTGTTCATAAACAATATATACCGTAACAGCCAAAATAGTATCTGATTAAACAGGATATTTTATCACCCTACCGGGGAGGGCAATAGGCATCTTAAAGTATCAGAAATATTAATTCCCAGCTTGCTGGGAATTTAATATAACAGTTATCTACATTAATATGGCATCCAACCTGGATGGGAATTGAATACAATATAAATCATCACACCACGGTAAAGGTACTTAATACATTTTGATGATGCATTTTTGGTGGTAGGTTTATCCATCCATCCATTTTCCGTCACGGGTCGTGAGAGGTGCTGGTGCCAATCTCCAGCTGTCTACAGGCGAGAGGCGTGGTACACCCTGGACAGGTCGCCAGTCCATCTCAGGGCAAAACAGAGACAAACAACCATTAATGCACACACTCACACCTAAGGTGAATTTAGAGAAGCCAATTAACCTAACAGTCACGTTTTAAAAATAAAAATCTTTAATAAACAAACAGGATAATATCTTAATATGTAGAGTTTTCAATCAAAAGCTATTTTATTCTTGTGACAAACTGATTCAAACATACGTCCAGTTCCAGCTCTGCCAGCTTATAGGTAAATGGGATGGAGGGTCTGGATGCAGAAGCAGAATGACCTACAGAAGAGAAGAAATTAGACACTTATTGCGCAGTGAAATTTATTACACTAATAGTACCATATTTGGTTCAGGCTGCAACTTGAAAAAGAATATATGTAATAGCAGTGGAGGGAGTATTCCAGAATTGTGACTTCAGTTATTTAATGTTTTCAATATGCTTGGTGAAAAGATTACATTTTAGATGTAATGGTAAATTTATCTGTTTTATTTTAAAGAAGCCATGTTATCTCTTTATTTTCTCCTTCTAATGTCGTTACTATTTTGTTGTGTAACTTTTTTTTTTTTTATTAAATTTTTTAAGTTCACTGGATCTATCAGAATTAGTTTTGAACAATCATGTTTTCACCTTTAAGCCATGAATTTTCTTCCCTTCTGTTAATAAATCGCTCCATGGCTGGCTGATGAAGACTTTCCAAGCATTAAGGGCTTTCTATTGGTTTGGTGGAACAGTCAAATTTTCTAGGGAGAAGTTAACAAAATCCCTAGTTGCACACATGGTCAATCAAACATGATTGGTCCATGATGGATTCCCTTTTTTTCAAATTTTAATTACTTTTTAAAATTGTTTTTCAAAAGGAAAACTGATGTATGATCTTAGAACCCAGTCAGAATATTATGAAGTTGAGTGTGATGTTACATTAAGACTTAACAGGCTTCGTACGAATAATACTGTTTTTTTTTTTTTTTTGCTTTTATAAATAAATGTGTTCAAATTTAGTTTTTCTGCAGTTTTCTAATTTTTACAAGCAA